AACATAAACAATTTGCCAACATTAATGCAATTTCATTATATATATATATAGAAGTAGTTGAAATCGCGCTTTGCTGCGGCTTGTTAAACTAAACTGTAAAAGAAAAAAAATTACTAACAAAAAGAAATTTGTGAACTCAAACTCAATTAGGATAGTTTATTATATTAATATAGAAAAGGTCTCAAAAACTCATTCAGTAAGAGAACAATGCGACCTTCATTTTTCTTAAAGTAGCATATAATTACAGTGATCAATCTGTAAAATGAAAACCAATAACCATAACTTTCTTGTCCCCTCTTTCCTTTTAAAAAGAATAAAAATAAATAAATACAGAATATATTTACTTGAACTATAACCAACCTTTTAAAAAGAATAAAAATAAATAAATACACAATATATCTAGTTGAACTATAACCAAACATTTTCTATCAAAGAATCAAATGCTAATTGACGTTGGAAGCAAATAAAAAATATCCTTTAACAATAGCTTAGACAATAGCAAAGAGTTGTGTGTACTTTTATTATGATCGATGTATGAAAATCCATTTAAGATCAAAGAATCAGACTTAGGTCTATTTACAGTTACAGATGAAAAACAATGTAAATGTTCCTCTTTTATTATGATCAAATACAGAACATATCCAGATTTCAAGTTAATATTTCTAATGTTTGGATAAGACCTCGTTTTGGGTCTTTCAACAAAATTGCTTCTATCTTTATCAACAAAACCAACAATGCATTCAACGTGTTTACCACCACATAACTTCTAATACTTCAAACCCAAAAGCCATTTAGTAAAACAAAAAATTTACCTTCACACATAGATTGAGTATAATGAATGCATTGAAGACAATTTGCTAGCATTACAATAGTAGTACAGGAGCCCAATGATAACTCAAGAATGTGGTCATTATTATGTGGACTAATAAGGATTTTAGTTTGTCTAACTATAACTCTGTCTAACATTATAAACCCATAAAGCTCAAAGCTGTTGAAACTCCTGAAATCGCTAAATAGCCTACACCTATTAGCAATAGGAAAAATCTCTTCAATGATCAATTTTCAAATTCTCAAAAAGAACTACATTAGCATAACTTTTTCTAGAAATGGTCATTCATTAGCCTCAAAATGCAGAGCTTAAACTGTCAAAAATCAACATATTTGAATGCAAACTAATTAATCATCATGATCTGTAACAACAATTGGTTGCAAATGCATTAAGCATTTCAAATTTCAATCCATGTCCATAATATCAAAAAAAAAAAAAAAGAGAAAAAAAATCTTGAATCTGAACTCAAAATGATTCGGAACATAAAACAATAAAATAAATAACAACGGAAATTATCAGGTAGATGGAAGTATAGTTTTTCCAGTTCCATTGTCAAGCAAGATGATAGAAATTGATATATTAGAAGAACTATAACAAAAAGCCAAGCAACATGAGTTTTATAAAATTAAATAATTGTATGAAAAAAAAAATTGGAAGCACTGTTTTGCACATATTTATGTTATTCTAAGATAAATGATGGTCAGTTTCGTATGATATCAATACCACTTTGAAATGGAGATAGAAAAAGCAAGGATGTTCTAGTCCTTCAAATTTAGATTAAAATTTGCAACAATAAATCCTGAATTCCATATATAAAATAGGATTTTATACTTGAAAATGTCTTATGTTCCAAACATATATTCAACCTAGAGGATTGAAAATTAATATACTGTAATGTCGTTAAATGCACCTATAATAGACTTAAATCATCTAAAACAAACAAAGACAAATTGTTTGATATGACAATAACATGTAAACACTCACACACTACCATTGAAAAAAAGATAAAAGTATTGTTGTCAATAACATTTAACATACTGATAAAAGGACAAAAATCACTTTGACAAGGTGAAGTTGTTCAACATCTTTAGAAGCATACACTCCAAATCTATCTAGCTTTTTTAATTAACTCAAATTGTAACTTAAAATCAATGAATATGAACCATCTTCAGTACATGCAATAAAGACAAATTAAATATAAGCAATCAAAGGATCTAACTATCGCAAATTGTAAAAGGCCCAAATAAAACTTTTCAATAGCAAAAAAAAGAGTAATATAAAATCCTCAAATATAAAATCTAGAAAGAAAACTGGATATGAGTTTCATGCAAAACAAAAGAAAAAGAAGTTGGTTTATCTTGTTTCAAAATTCATTGTCAACAAAAGAAGCAGAAATCTCTAATCTAAAGAGTATTTTTAAGTTTCTTATAGAAGAATAGGACAAAACAATAGAAATTAAAAAGAGTATAAAATCAAATTAAAAAGGAAAGTTACTTGGAAGATGGAGCTAGAAGAGGTATATGGTGAAGAAGAGAGTGAAGTCGGTAGGGAAAAAAAATCTACCCATTGTTGGTTGAACGATTAAAAGCAAAAGGGTAATATATGGAATAGTATGGAAAAAAAATGGTTAAGTCAGTATAACATTGGTCCTTGAACAGTGATTATGGTTTCCGTTTTAATGTGTGTGTATATATTTATAAGAAGATATTTTGAGCAAGATTATTTCATTAAGATCTTTCCTTCCAAACCTTTTAACTCACATAGTGACAAAATATTCATATTTATATTAAATATTACATTTATCTCATGTTTATAAAATGTTTCATGATTATAAAGCTTTTAAATTTTAAAAGCTTTGCGTTTTGTTTTCCTCACCCTTGCATTTTATTACTTCCTTTTGATGTTTTATTCAAAGTTTTTTCTTCTGACTTTGTAGCTTACCGGTAGGCAACATGTAAAAGAAATCTGACTCTGTGAAGATTAGTAGTAAGTTCAATTTCGACCGATTTTGTGAATTAAAAAATCTATTGTGACCCGCTAGTAATTAATTTTATTTCTTTAATTGCAGGAGCTTGTTTGGGGAAAGTGTTTGAATATTCTAAACCTCTTCTGAATTTTAATATTGGTGTTGATGTGCATAATTTCTTTGAAGATACTGGATTTGAGAACTTGATAAGCTTTGGGGAAAAAGATCATAGCTATCCTTGGTATTTAATTAGTGCTTTATTTTCCAATTATGATTCTGATAGTCAAGTATTTACTTTTGATTATAAAGATAAAATGAAATTATATTTTGGTTTGAGTGATATGTTGTATATTGTTGGTTGTGAATTAGTGATAATCAACTTATAATAGAACAAGATGATGGGAAAGATATAGCCTTTGAATTAATGTGGGAATTGATCTTTTCCATAAGACAAAGGGCTTCTAGATAGAAAAACTAAGGAAGATTGCAACTGCCAAAAGTGAAAAATAGTTATATTTATAGTTTGAGCTTAGAGTTAGGACAGTTGTTCTATATCTATTAGGAAAATATATTTTTCCTAGTTCATTTAGTGGATACATGAAATCTGTATATGGAAAATTTATAATTAATATACATGAGATTAAAAACTTTGCATGAGGAGAATCTACCTTGTTGAAGATGCATCACAACTTGTTAAAATCTTTTTTCAATAAAGTTGTCAAAATTTAGGAAAACTATATGATAATATACAAAAAAAAAAAATATGCATTAATAATAGTAAACTCTTAAATAAACTCCAATTACCAATTAATGTAGGATTCTTAACCCTTATCCTAAGGGAAATATCTTAAAATCCAGTATAAATACTACAAATTTACCCTCAGGATGGGTCCATTCACAATTTATCATTACTCAATTTTTGAGCATGTTATAATTGGTGCGGTTGGTCTGGAACACACCTTCACACCCTAGGAATCTAGATCTTTTTCTACTTTTTACCCTTGACAATCATAGCCAACAACCACATTAAACACCCTACCAAAGAGGGTCAGGGCGATAACTATGGTGAAGCAGTCGTGCAAACTATACTGGTTCCCTCACCCACGACCTACCCTCAGGTGGCGGCCATCCTGGCCAAGGCTTATTCACAATCCACAATTGTGTTGAAACACCTTTCGAAAACTCCTCACCCTAACGACAACCTAGCACCTTGAGGTGAACAGATGAACCAACACCTCGGAGAACACAACCGCAGCCCCACCGTCACTTAAACCGCCAAGTCTTCTAGCGCCTGAACAAGACCAGGAGGCAGAGTGAGAGGCAAAGCTCAGCATGATAGTCCCCTATAGTCAAGAATCGAGCCACACACAACTAATCATGGATAATGCCAACCTCCGAAACGTGGCAAAGGAACTGGTTAGAGAATGTAGAGAGTTGGGGGAAGTAGGAGACTATGGTCTTCGAAGTTCAAAATTCCAACCTTTTAATCACATGATGGGTCTTCTGATCCGCGAAGCCATCTGGCGACCTTACGAACTATGATGTACCTTCAAACCATCTCAGAAGATCTCATCTGTAACGTTTTCCCAATTACCTTGAAGGGAGCGGCCCAGGAGTGGTACAAACTCTTAAGATGGGGTCTGTTCACTCCTTCTCACAGTTAGCCAAAGTGTTTCAAGCTCACTTCATAACATGCGTGCCGTCTAGAAAGATATCATCTCATTTAGTAGACTTGAAAAGAGAAGAGGGAGAGACTCTAAGACAATACGTCTTTAAGTGTCAAAGGGTGGCGATGTAAGTGGAGAATTTAAATGATGAAGTGGCAATCAGTGCCATGGCAAAGAACTGTAGGTATAACAAGTTATTTGAAAGTTTGAGCATAGATCCTCCTTTAACTTTGACTGAACTCATGGCACGAGCTCACAAGTACACTAAGCTGGATGAAGCCTATGAGGCTTATCAACAGAGATCGCCCAAGGAAGAGAATACCAGGCACATGTGACACTTATCCCTAATATGAAGGTGCTCGCCAAGGCGGAGGTTGCCCACTAGACATCTGCAAACTAGCTATGCCGTTAGAATGCCCTATATAAAAGATGATAGGTCGCAGCTAGAACAGGAGTTCACCCCTCTGAACAGGCTTCAGAGATATTGTCTTGGGCAAGGGAGCATAGGAACCATGTCCAACTTTACTATCTAAGAAGAATGAAGGAAGACACCTCAGGTAGTCGAGATACAACTAAGTATTGTGAGTTCCATAGAGATGCAGGGCATGAGACCGAAGCTTGCTGGCAGTTGAAGAAAGAGATTGAGTGCCTTAAGCAAAAAGGCAAGCTGAAGGAGTTTGTTGGGCAAACCCAAGAAGTAACAATCAAGAGGGATAAGCAATCGAAGGAATGCCACACCTTAGGCACAATTCACACCATCTTCAAGGGCTTGTCAGGCAAGAATAACAACTCAGGTCAGAAAAGGAGAGCTAGGGACATCTACTCAATCCTACCCCAACGGAAGCCCGGGACAAGACCACCCATTTCATTCTCAGAGGCAGATGGTGAGCATGTGCATACTCTACATAATGATGCTCTAGTAATTGAGGGGATATTGGAAAATTTCCTGGCAAAGAGAATTTTGATAGATGAAGGTAATGCAATTAACTTACTGACTATGAAAGCCTTTAAAGCTTTAAAGTTAGACTAGGCGAAACTAAGGCCTATCCGAACTCCGCTAGTCGGGTTGGCAGGGAAGCCTGTACAAGTGCCAGGGTCTATAGATTTAACTCTTGAGCTCGGAACTGAAGGAACATCAAGAAAACTTAAAGCAAAATTCATGGTAGCAGACATCCACTTCCCATATAATTCTTTGTAGGCTAGCTTTGTATTGAAGGCAGCCACGTGTATCAGGTATGTCACCATGAAGTTTTACTCTGATAATGGCGAGGTCATAGTTGTAAAGGGCGATTAGAAGACAGCACAAGAGGCCTACATGATAGCATTAAAGAATTTACCCATTACCCTCCTAATCAAATGGATGCTCGACGGAGAACTACATGCAAAACTAGTCGAGCACAAGCCTTTTGACATACCCAGACACAATTCAGACTCCAACCCAACACCTCTGGGTGAGCTTATGACATGGGAAGTAGAGTTAGGGAAAAGTTTAACACTGGGGGTTGAGCTATCAGAGGAAGTGCAGAATGACATTAAGGTGGTTTTAGCAGGTAGCGTTGATTGCGTTGCTTGGACTGCAAAAGATATAGTTAGAATAATCCCTGACACCATAACCCACAACCTCAACATTAACCCAAGTTACAAACCAGTCAAGCAAAAGAAGCACAATCACGGACTAGAGAGGCAGCAAGCTATAGTAGCCGAGGTAGACAGATTGTTGAAGGCCGATTTCATAAGGGAGGTTAGTTACCCTAAATGGTTAGCAAGTGTGGTGTTAGTACTGAAATCCAATTGCAAGTGGAGACTTGTGTTGACTTCACCGATCTAAATAAGGAATGCCCTAAAGACTCTTATTCTCTACCCAACATAGACCAACTAGTAGACTCAACCGTTGGCTTTGAAGTATATAGTTTTATAGATATAGGAGTAGGGTATCACCAGATAAGAACAAGCTGGATGAGGAGAAGATGAGTTCTACCACTGATAAGGGATCTATTGTTACCAAGTCATGCCTTTTGGACTTAAAAATGCAAGAGCCACATACCAGAGGCTGGTCAACAGTATGTTCCAACACCAAATTGGGCGAACAATGAAGTATATGTGGATGATATGATCATCAAAAGCACCCAAGCTACTAACCATTCTAGGGATCTACAGGAGGTATTCTAGATTTTAAACGAATTCAACATGAAACTTAACCCAGACAAGTGCATGTTCGGAGTGAAGGCAGAAAAATTTATGGGGTTCATAATATCATAGAGAGGGAAGTGAACCTTGAAAAGATAAAAGCAATATTGTAGATGCAAACACCTACCAACATTTATGAAGTCCAGCAGTTGAACGGTCGACTCACAGCTCTTGGGCATTTCATCTCATGCTCGGCTAAGAGATGCATGCCCTTTTACCAAACTTTGAAGCAATCGAAGGGTCTCCAGTGGGATGATAATTGTCAGCTCGCCTTTGAAAAGATAAAGGATTTCCTATCTTCAGCACTTCTCCTAAGCAAGCCCAGAAACGACGAACCTCTGTACTTGTACTTAGCCACTACTGAAGACAGGGTAGCATCGGTGCTAGTCAAAGAAGAAAAAGGCGAGCAGTACCCCATCTACTACACTAGCAAAGTTTTAAGAGGTGCTGAGTTGCGATATCCAAATATTAAAAAGTTGGCCTTTACCATCCTTACCTCGGCAAACAGATTACAAACATTACTTCCATTCTCATGTTGCGTTTGTCTGCACTAACCGTCCTTCAAAGAAGGTCTTGTACCGAGCTGAGACATCTGGGAGATCGGTTTAATGGTCAATTAGGCTACTCAAATTTGACATTAGGTATACACCTCGCCCTACTCTTAAGGCACAAGTATTGCAGACTTTGTAGTTGAGTTCTCTAGGGGACATCAAGAGGGCGAACCAATAGCCAGTGAGATGAATCTTGATAGCGACACTTGGTTGCTACACATAGATAGGGCCCTAGGAAGTTTGGTTGCGGCGGGAATTGCGATGCAAGGACTAGGGAAAATAAAGGTTCTATACACCGTGCAATTAGACTTTGCAACAACCAATAATGACGCTGAGTATAAGGGCTTAATCACAAGGCTCAAGCTACCCTAGAGGTACGTGCTCCAACGCTTCACATTTTCCTAGACTCCGAGCTTGTGGTTAACCAAATCACAGGTACATTCACCACCAAAGAGGCATGCTTAACCAAGTATCACTCCTTAGCCCTCTCCCTCTAGCACAAGCTAGAAAGAGAGGGCTGTACTTGGAAAATAACTCAAATAGATCGGGAGGATAACAAAGACAGATGCCATAGCTAAAATCACAGCAAAAGGGGAGGGGTTACCAGGAGCAGTAATGGTTGAGCATCAAAGCTAGCCGAGCTACAAGCTCAATGAAATCCTTGTGTCTCAGACTACCAGCAATTGGATGAGTCCGATCATTGACTTTATACAGAATGATGTGAGCCCAATTAACAGATAGGAGGCGATCAGACTCTATAGAAAAGCTGCAAACTATGCAGTTGAGAATGTAATGGTTGAGCATCAAAGCTAGCCGAGCTACAAGCTCAATGAAATCCTTGTGTCTCAGACTACCAGCAATTGGATGAGTCCGATCATTGACTTTATACAGAATGATGTGAGCCCAATTAACAGATAGGAGGCGATCAGACTCTATAGAAAAGCTGCAAACTATGCAGTTGAGAATGGAGAACTCTATAAAAGATCAAAGTCGCATCCTTGGGCAAAGTGCCTAACTGAAGAAGAAGGCAACTACATTATAAGAGAAACCCATGAAGGTGTTTGTGGGACACATGAAGGTTCAAACACAACGTTTAGGAAGATTCTACTCCTAGGGTATTACTGGCCGACAATGAAGAAGGATGTTCACCAATAAGTTCGCCACTGCAATACTTGCCAAAAATATAACCGTGTACCCAGGAAGCCTTCCACAGAGTTACAGCCCTTAGGTTAGGCTTGGCCCTTTGCTCAATGCGGAATAGATATACTAGGGCCATTTCCTGTGATGATGGGGTAGAGAAAGTTTGTAGTAGTTGCGATTGACCACTTCTCTAAATGGGTAGAAGCGAAAGCCTTGAGCACCATTACCCCAACTCGAGTCATTAGGTTCTTTAAGAATAATGTGATATTCAGATGTAGAGTACCCCATAGACTTATTACTGACAACGGCAAACAATTTGATTCAAGGGCTTTCAGATCATTTTGTGAAGATTGGCATATTGGGCTCCATTTCACCTCAGTAGCTCATCCCCAAACTAACTGTCTTATCGAAGTCATAAATAGAACTATTTTACAGGGTCTAAAAAAGAGGCTAGATGGGGAAAAGCCTAATTGGGTGGAAGAATTAAATACCATACTATAGGCTTACAGGACCACACCTAGGCAAACAACTAGGCAAACTCCTTTCTCCCTTGTCTATGGGACTGATATGGTGCCAATTGAAATAGGTATTCCCAGCAGAAGAACAGGAAAATATGATGAACCTATCAGCAATGAGAGCCTGAAAGTCAACCTAGACTTAGCAAAAGAACTTAGAGAAGAGGCAATAGTTCAAGCCGAGGCATGAAAGCAAAGGATGAGAATGTACTTCAATTGGCGAGTTCAGAGCAGATAGTTCAAAATAGGAGATACGATGTGGCGAAAAGAAAAAATAATCAGATGCTCAGTTGGGGTAGGCAAGTTAGGACAGAGCTGGGAGGGCCCCTATGAAATATCACAACAGCTAGGTCCAGGCACATACAAACTTAGGAAAATTGAAGAAAAACCGAGCTGCCTAGAACATGGAATGCAGACAATTTGAAGAAAGCTTACTGTGTTTTCACTTAAAGAGATGTAATATATCTTTCAATTGCTATAATAATAAAAGAACTTCAGATTTTTTTACTTAATAAATCATGCCTTATGAAGATAAAAGGGGGCATAATATATTAAGTTTTTCCTGAGAGTTCTTACTTCAAATTTGTTGCTTTGACTTAATCCCAAACCAAGTCCATAGCTCGGACATACGTAGCTCGCCTACATAGACCTAACCAGTCCCTAAACTAAGTCCATAGCTCAAACATATGTAGCTCGCCTACATAAACCTAAGCGGTCCCCAAACTAAGTCCATAGCTTAGACATAAATAGCTCGCCCTATATAGACTCATGCGGCCTCTTAACCAAGTCTATAACTCAGACACACATGGCTCGCCCAACCCGAAGACTTAAAATGTTCTTTTAATAAAGTCCATAGCTTGGACACACATAGCTCGCCAAGCTTAGGCATTTGTGATCTCGTAAATAAAGTCCCATAGCTCGGACATATTTGACTCTTCTAGCCTAAATCTAAATGCACTCTTCACTAAGTCCATCAGATCAGGCATATCTAAGTTCACCTGTGCTCTAACATTGACATAACAAGAAGACAATACTATTACAAGTACGGGCAAGGAGATACAACACATGGAATATAAATTATCTTCATTAATGTCAAAAAGAAGAATGTTACATGAGACGATTACAAAAAGGTCTTTACACAAAGAAACCTCCCTACAAACTAAATAAAAATAACTTATAACTAAATATTTTACCCTACAGGCAAGACTTCAATAGTGCCTCACCCCTTTGAAGAGATGATGTGAATGTCTGGTTGCACCTCGGTGTTTGCATGTTGGGAAGGCGAGACGTTTGCAATAGTAGTTTCTTGCAAAACATCAACTTCAACCTCTCCTATCCCATCCTCTTCTCCTTCACCTTCCTCATCATCATCAGGATACATATCATTAACCCAGCTCCAATTCTTATTTGGATCTCATGCTTTCAGTGTAACATCCCTTCCTGGTCCACCCGTAAACCCGAATGAACCGAACCGAGACGCTACAAACTGGTTGACTGTATGGCCTGCCACCCCGTAAACCCGAATTGAACCGACCCGCAGAGCTAACAAAACTGGTCTGAAACTGTATGGCCTGACTGCTGAAATCATAATGTAATATTGAATATAAAGCATGCTATGGGTTTGTTTTTTAACAAAAATAAATGTATTTAATATTTAACAAAGACATGTTTTACTAGCTTTACAAAATGAAAATGGGCCCCAACTGTGTGCCCTGTACATGCCATGAAAAGTGCTAGAACAAAAAATACCCTTAAAATGAGTAGCCTACCCTGAAGACTGAGTCTTACCTACAGATGCAACTGGC